TGAGTCACCACTTTACACCAGATTTCTTTCTGTTATCTGGGTAATTCTGTCTACATCTGGTCTGGCTTTCCCTGATTACCAAAGACGTTATCTCAGTACAACCCTCATCTTACTTTTTCCTTGAGGAGGAATACAATAAAAGAAACAGGCTTGTGATTTCCGGACTGAATCTAGACTTCAGCGTTTTATTTTCCTTGGTTTGTTTTCTATGTGTGTCAGGTCTAAAGGCCGATGAAATATTTCACCCACTCTTCTCAATGGTGTTTGGTCTATAGAACACACCACATGGTGAGGGTGTGTAGGAACAGCATCTGAGTCCTGATTTGGGATAAGCATAGAGTAGAGAAAGAAAGGTACTAAGTGTGAAATCTAGTATGGAGACACCCTAGTAAGACACACAGCATCATTCACCCATGATTTTCATAAAAACCAGGTAAGGGAATCACATAAATGTGAGCTCAATCTTACACCAACTAGAAGGCATCTGGAGTCCTCCCCACCCCCACATCCAGAGATGCTGAAATAACTCTTAATAACAGGCTTGTGGCTGGAGACAATCAAGCTCATTATCTAAAGATACTCAACTCCTAATCAGGGCCTTTTCTTGCCTCCTGCCTCTCAGCACATCCCTGCACAACAAGTCTAGCCCTTTTTAATCTTATTTTGGTGGCATGTAAAAAATGCCAGAAATTCTGAAAGTTTGGATAATACATACTTTTAAAAAGACAACAGAAATGGAAAAAAGGGTTTGAGTTTTTTTTTTAAAAAAAGTGTTGCTTTTGCCAACCTTGAAGTGAATCAAAGGTTCCAAAGGTTTTGCCCAAATTGTGGAGAAGTTCTGCCCCAAAAGTGATCAAAATTCAAAGGAGCTTGGAGGGGAAAAATTTTACATTGAAATTAGGCCCATCCTTATTTTTGGTAAGGTTTTTATTATAAAAATACTGTACAGAGCCGGGCGCTGGTGGCTCACGCCTGCAATCCTAGCTACTCAGGAGGCTGAGATCTGAGGATCACGGTTCAAAGCCAGCCCGGGCAGGAGAGACCGTGAGACTCTTATCTCCAATAAAAACCACCAGAACACCGGAAGTGGCGCTGTAGCTCAAGTGGTAGAGCACTCGCCTTGAGCTGAAGAGCTGAGGGACAGCGCCCAGGCCCAGAGTTCAATCCCCACGACCGACAAAAAAAAAAAAAAAAAATACTGTACAGAGGGGTTACAGTTACATGAGCGAGGTAATGAGTACATTTCCGATCCAGCATTGTTGTCTCCTCCTTTGTTTTTCACTGACTTTGCGATTGTAAGTAAGGGGTAGAATTCTAACCTAGAGTATGACAGACAAGCACTTTGCACTCGGGTACATCCCAAGTGCCAAGGACATTGACCTTGAATTCAAAAGCAATTCTTTTACCACTTTTTACAAATAAATATTCTTTTCTGAAATCTGAAAGGAGTATCAATTTTTTTAATTGGGGAATACAGGAAAGGTCAGAGGGACAGATGAACGGAGGAAGGAAGGTGAATGCCGTCATAACTATTCAATGTACATATGTGAACATGGAAGTTGAGCAGATGGAGGGGTTGGGAGAGATGGGGTAGAATGATGGAAGGACATTGATCAAGATGCATTGTATTCATAAACTGTTATGTTGATATAAAAGAATGGTGTATCTAAACACTCTGCTCACCAAAAAAGACCAAATGAGAAGACTGAATGCATTTATAATCCTTCACCTAGAGATAGCCAGTGTTATAATTTCAGTGGATAATTTCTTTCCAATCTTTTCTTTGCAAAAATGTCTTATTACACAAATTTAAACAGATCATACTACTCATGATATTTTAATATACTGCTTACTTTTTTCCCCATCAGTTATGTGGCTTGAACTCTGGGCTTTGGCACTGTCCTTGAGCTCTTCAGCTCAAGGAAAAGGCTCTACCACCTGAGCCACAGGACCATTTCTGGTTTTCTGGTGATTAATTGGAGATAAGAGTCTCATGGACCTTACTGCACAGGCTGGCTTTGAACTGCAATCTTCAGATCTCAACCTCCTGAATAGCTAGGATTATAGGCATGAGACACCAGTACCTGGCTGCATTGCTTTCTTTAGTTATAAATCTTAATCTCTTTTTTGGGGGTAGCTATTCTTTGCTTTTGGGGGGAGGGGTACCTGGGATTGAACCTAGGAAGTTGTACTTGCTAGGCAAGCTCTTTGCCACTGAGCTATATGTCAGCCCTTAACCTGCCTACTATTCTTTTTTCTTTTCTTTTCTTTTTTTTTTTGTTTTTTGTTTTTGGGTCCGGTCGTGGGGCCTAAACTCTGGGCCTGGGGCACTGTCCCGTCCCTCAGCTCTTCTGCTCAAGGCTAGCGCTCTACCATTTGAGCCACAGCACCACTTCCGGCTTTTTTCATTTTGCTTATGTGGTGCTGAGGAATGGAACCCAGAGCCTCAGGCATGCAAGGCAAGTGCTCTATCACTGAGCCACCTTCCCAGCCCCCCTGCCTACTATTCTTTTGTGTGTATGTGTGTGTGTGTGTGTGTGTGTGTGTGTGTGTGTGTGTGTGTGTGTGTGTGTGCCAGTACTGGATAAACTCAGGGCCTGGGTGTTATTGCATAGGTTTTCCACTCAGGGTTGGCATTCTAACACTTGACCCCCAACTCTACTTCTAGCTTCTTTTGCTGGTTAATTGAAGATAAGAGTCTCACAGACTTTCCTTCCCAGGCTGGCTTCAAACCTCTATTCTCAGATCTCAGCCTCCTGAGCAGCTAGCATTATAGGCATGTGACACTGGAACCAGAGTTTACTTAAGTATTCTTATTTGTATTTCTGAAAGCCAAAAATTTAGCAAAGGACACAGCCTTCATTTCATACTGACCCTTGTAAAAATGAGAAGAGTCAGGAACTAGATTCCATTCCTATTTCTATTAAGTAGGAATCTAGTTGGGGCAAGGTCTCTCTCTTTCTCTGGACACAGCTTTGCTTGTCTATGAAGTAAAGGGTGATTTCTAGAAAGTTTAAGAGGAAGTCTTCTCATGTATAAGCCACATAATGCAATGTATAAATTGCCTTACTGCCTACTTTGTACGCTCCATATGATAGGGATTTCCTCTTTCCTTTCATCCTTTGATTTCTTTGCCTTTAATTTTTCCATTTCCTTTTCCCTGAAATGATGAAATGTGATTCCTTTTATCTTCTCATTGGAAGATGGGTGGTTGGCTTCTTCCACGCTTGGCTTTTGTAAACCCAGCACCATTGTCCTCCTGGAAGTGAGAGCTCTGGTTTGGAGCAACAGGGGGCAAGGCCAGTACTTTACAGATGCTGCAGCAAACAGGCTCCCCTGAGCCACCTACGTGTCCCTGGAATAAAACTACAGTCAATACTCCTGGAGTTTCAGGGAAGGCTCTGCTTTCTTGCAAGCTCCAGCCAGAGTAAAACTATGAATAAATTGAAAAGGCATTCATTCTCTTAAGCACACAAAGTTAATTATCTTATTTTCAACTTTATATCTACGCATACTTGTAACTTTAAACTCATGAGTGTGTATAGATGTATATGATTGAAACAGTCATATGATGTATGTGTATATCTGCAGTTATAGCCAATGTACATTATGTAAAAAGTAAGCCATGTAACTTGCAGGTAGGGATGGAGGGGGGAAATGAGGGAGAATGATGGGAGAGGTTAACAGTGACTAAGCAGTGCCCGACTCATAACCTGACATGGAACTGTAACCCCTTTGTGCAACTACTTAATAACAAGAATAAGCTAGGCGCTGGTAGTTCATGCCTATAATCCTAGTCAGGAGGCTGAGATCTGAGGATTGCAGTTTGAAGCCAGCCCAGGAAGGAAAGTCCATGAGACTCTGATCTCTGATTAACAACCAGAGAGTTAGATTTGGCACTGTGGCTCAAAGTGTTAGAGTGCTAGCCTTCAGTGAAAAAGCTCAAGGACAGCACCCAGGCCCTGAATTCAAGTCCCACAACTGACCAAAAAAAACCCAAACTCAAATAATAATAATAATAATAATGGCAATGATAATGATTATCATCATCATCATCATCAAAAGAACTAGCAAAGGTTTTATGTTCTATATCAAAGGGGCTAGGAAGTGAATGTTTTCTGTAGACACTGAAAATAGTTGGACACTCAACTTACGCATAAATTGGAAGGTAAAGAAGTTCCTGAGGAGTAATAACATATTTCATAGAAAGAACTTCCAGATTTCCTGAACCTTCCCTGTGCAGAAAGTGAGTGACGAAGAACATGTTCTCCACCATTGCATGACAACAAAGATTCTCCCAAGGCCTAGTCTGACTGCTATTCATTGTGTGAGCTCTAACACAGATCTGAAAATAAAACACAAGTTTGTGTGTTAGCACTGCGTATCTTAGGGTCTGTTAGGTAGGTTTCTGAAGAAAAAGAAAGGAAGGAAGAAGGAAGGTAGGAAGGAAGGAAGGAAGAAGGGAGGGAGGGAGGGATGGAGGGAGGGAGGGAGGGAGAACAAAAGAAGGAAAAGATGAAAGGAGAGAGAGGAAAAGAGGGAAGGAGATAAGAAGGGAGGGAGGGAAAGGAGGAAAGGGAGGGAGGGAGGAGGGAGAGAGGAAGAAAGAAAGAAAGAAAGAAAAGAAGGAAGGAAAGCAAAAGGAAGGAAGATAGGAAGGAAGGAAGGAAGGAGGAAGGAAGGAAGGAAGGAAGGAAGGAGGAAGGAAGGAAGGAAGGAAGGGAGGGAGGGAAGGAGGATGAAAGAAGGAAAGGATGAAATGAGAGAGAGGAAAGAGCGAAGGAGATAAGGAGAGAGGGAGGGAAAGGAGGAAGGGGAGGGAGGGAGGATGAAGGAAAGAAAGAAAGAAAGAAAGAAAGGAAAGAAGGAAGGAAGGAAAGACAAAGTAAGGGAGAGAGGAAGAAAGGCAGGGAGGGAGGGAAGAAGGAAGAAAGAAAATGTGGAAGGAAAGAAAGAGAAGAGAAAGAAATAAGAGGAAGGAAGGAATCAACATTTCTCACCAGTTTTCCGAAGCATTTTCACTGAGAAGACCCAGCATGGAGTCTTCTGATGTCTTGCTGCTATCATGAATTCCACTGAGCTCAGAGACCTGTGATTCTGGTGTGAAATAGGAACACTGTGAGGGAATGGTTCCAGCACATCTCAAGATGCTGATGTTCCCGCCTATCAGAGAACAGGATTCTGGAGAAGGAGAGCATCTGACCAATGAGCGTCCTCTGAGACAGTTCCTGCTTGACTAATCCCACCTTCAGTCATCAGTGTTAACCCCAGCAAAACGAATCCTGGAGCTTGAACTCAGGGCTGAACTCAGGTGCTGTCCCTGAGCTACTTTTGCTCAAGGCTAGCACTGTACCACTTGAGCCACAGCTTCACTTCTGGCTTTATTTGGCAGTAAATTGGAGATAAAAGTCTCACGGACTTTCTTGCCTGAGCTGGCTGCAAACTGTGATTCTCATATCTCAGCCCCCTGAGTAGCTATGATTAAAGGCATTGGCCACAGCGCTAATCCTCATTCTTCTTCTTTTTTTAACTTTCAGTTTCCATCATAGGATCTCAGTTTATTTAGGGATACAAGACTTGAAATGACATAATTATATTGTAACAGCATATAATAGAATTATATCATATAGGAATGTGGCCTGTTGAGAATGACAAATCTGTCAGAGATATTTGTCAGAAACAAAGATTATTTAAACTGAAACATGAAAGCCAAGTTTAACTATCAAGAAGGAACACAATAGATTTGCAGAAATTGATGCAAATGACAAAACAAAATGTGTATTATGATCTCATTCACATAAGAAAAATAACCTATTCTATGTAAATACATTAACACTGGTCTAAACTAAAGTAACCCAGAAGATAACAGTGATTACTTTTGAAAAGAAAAAAAGAGGACAAGAAAGACTTTTCTGCATGCCTGTGTTTGCACACAATTTTCACTTTTTCAGAATAGAATACCACACATTAGTTTCATGGCCACCGAGTTTTCAAAGGCCAGGGATTGAGGAGGTTTGTTCTCAATGTGAATGAATCCCCCAGAATCTAAGTTCCTGACTAGGAACCCTCCAGTTTAAAATCTTGATTAGTCAGGTATGTGTGGCTCTGAACTGGAATAGGCAAATGAGAAAAGAGACTCAAAAGCAAGAGAAGAGGCAGAGATCAGAGGCCACTGGAGAATCTTCTCGTAGATGTCTATGTTGGGCTTCAAAAAATGAATGAGCACTTGTAAAAGTTTGAATATTGTTACTGCATGATACCAAAAGATGGCCTTCCTGTAACACCCATTGACTGAGCCTCATTCAGTACTTGGATCCAAAGCCTTTCAGCTTCTCTACTAGAGCCTTTTTTTACATATCTAAAAGCAGCTGGAGAAGTCATGGTAACTGCAGCTGCTGTCTGGTACAATGAAAAAGGCTTTCCCACAGAGTCCTCGTGCACTGTCCTACTTACCTGATGCTTCTCTCTCTGGGCCTGCATTTCTGTTTTGAGTGGCTCCAAATGTTCCAGTGTACTTCATTATTTTGACCTAAAATATGCTTCCCTGTAGTGTTTATCCACTGATCCCAGTTCTGTGACACATGTGTGCTAATTAGACAATCACAGTTCCAACAAGGAATTTTTTTCTCTCTTTAAAAAACCTGCTGTTGGGGCTGTGAAGGTGGCTCAGTGGTAGAGTGCTTGCCTTGCATGCATGAGGCCCTGAGTTCGATTCCTCAGCACAATTCAAGCAGAAAAGGCAAAAGTGGCGCTGTGGCTCAAGTGGTAGAGCTGTGCTCAGGCCCAGAGTTCAGAGTTCAGCCCCCACGACCGGCAAAAACAAAACACCAACAAAACAAAACAAAACAAAACAAAAAACCTGCTGTTAGGCCAAGTGCTGGTGGCTCATGCCTATAATTTTAGCTACTCAGGAGGCTGAGATCTGAGGATCATGGTTCAAAGCCAGCCCTGGCAGGAAAGTCTGTGAGACTCTTATCTCCAATAAACTACCAGAAAACTGGAAGTGGCACTATGGCTCAAGTAGTAGAGTGCTTGCCTTGACATGAAGAGCTGAGGGATAGTGCCCAGGTCCAGAGTTCAAGCCCCACAACCAACAATACAAAACAACAACAACAACAACAAAAACCCTGCTGTTTGGAAACAAGACAGGATTCAGGAAACTATCTTAAGCAAAATTTCCAGTTCCTTTTTCCTAAGCAGAGCACTTTACATTTTATCTCTTTACTTTTCAACATCTCAGTGAAGAGATAAGAAGAGGTAAGTGTCTCAAGGACTTTCTTGCTCAGGCTGGGTTCCAACTATGATCCTCAAATCTCAGTTGCCTGAGTAGCTAGGATTGATTACAGGCATGTGCCACTGGTACCTGGCTTCAGGAAGGTTTTAAGTTTGTGAGACTCATCTCCAATGAACCACCCAGAAAGCCAGAAGTGGAGCTACAGTTCAAGAGGTAGAATGCTAGCCTTGAGCAGAGACAATGTCCAGGCCCTGTGGTCAAGCCTCAAGATTGGCACCAAAAGAAGAAGAAGGAAAAAAAAAGAACAAAAATAAATGAGCTTTGGCTGGGTCCTCTTCTGGTCCTATTAACTGTTTTTTTGTTGTCGTTTTTTGTTTTGTCAGTTGTGGGGCTTGAACTCCAGGCCTTGGCACTGTCCCTGTGCTCTTCAGCTCAAGGTTAGTACTCTACCACTTGAGCCACAGCACCATTTCTGGCTTTTTCTGCTTATGTGGTGCTGAGGAATCAAACTCAGGGCCTCATGCATGCAAGGCAAGCACTCTAACGCTGAGCCACCTTCCTAGCCCTGTTCCTATTACCCTTTAACGTCTTTCTTTCTTAGTCTTAATTTTCCAGGGGTAAATTAGGTTCATCTTCCTGGGCTATCCACAGGCCTCCAGAAACTAGGCTGAAGTGAATAAAAACTCTTGATGGAAATTCATTTGTTGTTGAGTTCTGCCTGTAGCCCTTAAAATCAGAGATATTCTCTTCCATTCTACCCTGTAGTCAACTTTTAACTCCTCTTGCCTCAGTTTCCCTAGCTTGATTTCCCCCTTATCTGGAACCAGCAGAGGCAGCTTTGTGGGATCAAGTGTTCATGTTCCCAGCTCACGTTACACAGTGACACCCCAATACCCTGTTAATCCACAGACAAATCCAGCAAACACTGGCCTACACATGGCTACTTTCCATTCAGAGTAAGGAATGGGCCTTCTTTATCTTTGTGTCCCAGCATCTTACCTGATGCCTGGCCTTTAGGTATTTCTCAGTTAGTGTATGTTCATTGGTTCAAAGTATACATGTTACACACAATTATTGTGTAGCAATTATAAAGAACGAAATGGATATGTTTTATTTTAGAGACTTGAAGGCTAATTGAGAATGGAGTAGGTGAGGTGAGAGGCTCAAATACAAAACCAAACCATCCTCAATTTTTAATATACATTTTTTATTGTAAAGATACTGTGTAGAGGGGTTACAGTTACATGAGTAAGGCAATGAGCACATTTCCTATCCGGCATTGTTACCCCATCCTTTGTTTTTCCCCTACCATCCCTTTCCTTCCCCCCTTCCCAATCCCTTCCTCTCCCCTCCAATGTTTTAAAGTTCGTTTCAACAGTGTCTTGTACATCTCATTGTTACAATGGCTCAACCTGTATCCTTATTTCAGTTTTTTGTTATTTCCCTTCCCCTCCCCAAGTTAGAAGAATGTATATGCAAGATGCAGGGCACCAGAATCACATACAGTGACAACAGGGGTTGTACCTTGGGGGAAGAACATATAAGAGAAACAAAAAAAAATCACATAGTACATTCTAAGTACATTAAAAACAACAGAAACAAAGATAAAACCTCTTGTGTCCCTATCTTGGGGCTCATTTTGCTTAGCATCATCTTATATGGTCATATGTACATAGCTTTTGATCTTTTCTGCTTGTCCTAGGTATATACTAGTTATTGCAGATAAGGGATCTTCCAGCCTGGCGCTGGTGGCTCATGCCTGTAATCTTAGCTACTCAAGAAGCTGAGATCTGAGGATCATGGTTCAAAGCCAGCCCAGGCAGGAAAGTTCATGAGACTCTTATCTCCAATTAACCACCAGAAAAATGGAAGTGGTACGGCAGCTCAAATGGTAGAGTGCTCACCTTGAGCTGAAGAGCTCAGAGACAGCACCCAGGCCCAGAGTTCAAGGCCCACAACCAGAAAAAAAAAAATCTTCCAAATACCATTTTGAACCAATATGGAAAAGGACCAAAGAACAAGGAAGTTCTTACCTTCGCTCTGCATTTGTGCACTTCTTCCTCCTGCTGTAGTGCCACATAGTGCTCTCTCTCGCTCTCTCTCTCTCTCTCTCTCTCTCTCTCTCTCCCTGGTTTCTCTCTCGCTCACTTGCTTAATAGATGTCACATGAAGATTTTAACTCAGCAGTGAGGTTTCACTTGACTGTCTCATCCATCCATAACCTCATTACTCTCTTATCCACCTTACTCTGCTTTATTTCTCTCCGTAGCATTTATCACTAACTAATACACTGTTTTTTCCTTACTTATGGTTTTACTTAGAGAGTAGAAATCGATGTGTCCTTTTTAGTAAATCTCTTCTAAGATCTTGTCTGGGGCTAGGCATGCTTCTAAGTCCAGGGATATGTAGAGAATGGAGCCCAGCCTGTGAACTTGTTCTTCAGCCACTCAGGAGGCATAAATAGGAGAAGCATGGTCAGTTCAGGAAAAACAGACTCTACTTGAAAAAGGATTAAAGCAAAACCAGAGTGAAAGTGGGGTTTCAGTGATAAAGCACCTGCCTAACAAGTGCTTGAATTCAAACACCAGTACTAACACACACATATAAACCAGGTTCCTATAACAAATAATTTACAAATTGGCTGAATAGTGAATACACAAATTGTTCTAGTTAGAAGAAAAACAAGCCAGGCACCAGTGGCTCATACCTGTTATTGCAGCTACTCAGGAGGCTAATAACTGAGGCTTGTGGTTCTTAGCCAGCCCTGCAGGAAAGTCCATGAGATTCGTATATCCAATTAACCATCAGAAAACCAGAAGTAGAACTGTGGCTC